ATATATATATATATATATATATCAATTTCTAATCTCAATAGTAGTTCATATATAAACATCATCCATCACAAGCACGGTGTAATTAATATCATTTAAATCCTCAAAAGGGCAAAAAAGAAGCCATCTTACAACTTGAATACTAGGGCATTGACGAAGACTTTGATCATAATACAATGACCAAAACTTAATTAGGTTTTTTGTTAGTGTCACTACAAGAAAATCCACATTTAGTGACTAAATTATTAGTCATTAAATCTTTATTTTTCGTCATAGACTAAAATTTGTGATGAAATTTAAATCATTAATAAAACCCTTGTCACATTAGTGACGAATTTAGCATCTGTCACAGAAAAGAATTTTATGGTGATAAAAAAAATTTATATTATTAATGAGTTATTTGTAACAAATTCACTCATCACAAAAAAAATTTTTTGTTACAATAATTTTCATCACAAATGTTACAATTAAGTGACAAAAAAGTCACAAACGTAGTTGGAACAAAAAAAAATAGTCATTAATTATTAAAATTGATATTAAATCAAAAAAAGTATTTATATAATTACAACATAAATACGGTAACAAAAATTCTGTTACAAAAAAATTAATATATATATTTGTCACAAAAGTTTAATAAAAAAATATTATTATTTCAATACTAATAAAATTTGATTAAAATTAATTAAGCCCGATTAAAATTTGAGCTTCACATTATATTGCTCAAATAGAGCTCAAATAAATAAAATTAACACAAGTGTCAATCAATTAGTTTGCATATAGTCACTAGTTTTATAGTGTAAAACTTTATCTTCTTAAATATTTCTCACCAATGTGAAATATATTTATAATGCAAAACTTTATTTTTTTATGTATTCTTTTATGGATGTATGATGTATTAATTAAAGAAAACTTAAATAAGATTGAACTTTTTTCTTGAGATATAGAATAACTATAAGACACAAGAAATAATGCAGTAAATTGTAATTATTTACCTTTGTAAATTGCTGTTTCATTTTGGAAGAAATCTAGTTCCATAATTTTTTTATCAATATAAAGATTTGCCATAATTTTAAAAAAGATTATTGGATATTTTTATTGGCTAAAGGTTCCAGCGGAGACGTAGATTCGTATTAGAATCTGAATTGGGTCTTGCGTGGTAGGACTTTTGATGTGGGCCTTCTGTGAACTTGGATTAGTACTACCATTGATATTGAAATTTAGCGTGGACCTTCAAAACCATCATTTAGCGTGCATTTGGGTAATTTGACGTGGGGTCTTCCGTGGACTTGGATCGGTATTATTGGTGGTAGAATTTGGGTTGGGTCTGGTTCATTTAAGGTGGGGCTTCAAAGTCGTCATTTGGGTGCTTCTAGGTCATTTGACGTGGGCTCTTCCGTAGACTTAGATTAGTATCGACGTTTGACGGTTACTCTCCTTTATCACTGACAACGAAGCCCAATTCATTTAGATAATATTTTAGATTTGTGATGAGTTTTAGTGATAAATTTTATTATTAAAATTTTATATTTTATTTGTAACTATTTTTTAGCGAAAAAATATCTCTTTAATAATGAATTTTTTTATTATCATTGAACATGTAAATATTTGTGATCAAAAGTTTAAATCTATCAAAATTATGATGAGTTTTAGTGATGGTTTTTATCATTATAAGTATGTATTCTTTTTTTGATAATTTTTAATGATGAAATATATTTTTAGTAATAAATTATTTTGTTATCATTGAATGTAGAGATATATGTGATTATTATTTGAAATTTGTATTAATTGGAATGAGTTACAGTGATAATTTTTATTGTTACAAACTTATTTTTTATTTGTGATAATTTTTTAGTAATAAAATATTTTTTTAATGACAAATTTTTTTATCATT